GTGTACGTATAATTTATAATTCTCCCCCCCTAGCAAAATCTGTAATCCCCATAATATATGTATAGATACATCCAAACAAATAATAGTTAATATTGCATCACTAATAAATCAGGCGTACCAATTCATGCCGGAGATCTGATACTGTTGCTGCCGGAAAACCCCATCTCCGAGACTACCCAGCATTGCTTGATGCTGCTGCAGAGTCGCCGGAGTTTGCGGCAGCTGGCTGACGATGCTGCCGTCGCAGCTCTCAGTGAGGAATCTCTTCGTCGGAGGTGAGCTGGCGCTCCCACCACCGCCGCCGCCATCGTCGTTCCAGTACAAACCCGGCAGAGCCCTCTTTCCGGCGAGGATACTATTCGGGTCTGCGGCGGCGGAGGAAACCAATAAAGGAAACTGATGGTGCTGTAACTTCAAATGATGATCGCCGCCGCTCATCATCCCATCGTAAAAGCTGCTGTGGTCGTTCTCTAGAAACCTCTGTTGTTCTCCGACGACGGCCATCGCCGCCGGCAAACCCGCCTTGAACGAGCCCATGATGACGTCATGTCCTTCGTCTCTTTCTTGATCCACCGGCCTCTGCGCGTTGTTCTTCTTATATATCCGACACAACACCCAATCATCCAGCTGTTTAATTACAGCAAAAAAAAAATTATTATTATTTAATTTACCAACCTCGGATTGGCGAAAAAATATATGTAGATTGTCACGGATCAGTAATTATTACCCGTAAGGAAGCCTTTTTATTGGTGACGTCACAGCCGGGAGGTTTCATGTTCGGGGGTTTGTTGTCGGTGAGTCTGTACTCGTGCATGATCCAATTCGTTTTGATTCCTTTCGGCGGCTTCCCGCCGTAGAAAACCAGCGCCTTCTTAACCCCAACCTTCTGTGTTCCTCCGGCTGTCATCACCGGCTTGTCGGTTCCGGTGGCCTTCCAGTAGCCGGAGGTAGCTGCCCGGTTCGGCCGGGCTCCGTTCGGGTATTTCCTGTCTCTTGGACTGAAGAAATACCACTCTTGCTCTCCGAATATTGACTTCGCTGTAAATTAATTCAATATTATTTTCTGATCAAAAATATTAATAAAGTTAAACCTCTATAAATTAATTAATAAAATCAGTACTGATAAAATTCTATTAATTTAATTTAATTATTATTATTGATTTATCGAGGTACTGCTGTGTATATATATACGCTGCAGTAATAATAATAATATATACCTGGGAGTTCCCAAGGATCGAATTTGTAGAGATCAACTTCAGCTATGATAGAAACAGGGAGAGGGGCGGAGGCCGCCTTCTTCTTCAGGTAGTGCACCACCAGTTCTTCGTCGGTGGGGTGGAAGCGGAACCCCGGCGGCAGCTGCGGCTTCTGCGACCCGGTGGAGGAATCGGTGCTCTCCATATATATATATATATATAATTCTTTTTTTATTTATTTCTAAATAATATATTGTTTACCGGAGGATTGTAACGAGGAAGCTTTTGTGTGTCGGAAGTTGGTCGGAGAAGAAGAGCATGGTATAATTAAGAGAGAGAGAGAAAGAGAGAGAGAGAGAGAGAAAAAAAAAAGGGAAAAAAGAGAAAAAATTCAAATAAGCTGAAAATGTTTATTTGTTGGGGGGGGGGGGGGAGTTGGCTAATGCTCACAATCTCTCTTTTTTATATACGGTATATACGAGCCTGTGCCTCGATGTACAAAATACTATGGGCTACGTACAATTTCGCGTAGCATCTCCACCAGCCAATCAGATCGCGCCGCGTGTACGACTCATGAGTCGACGGCGTTTTTAGTGTTACGGAGATTATAACTGATTAAGCGCTTGGTTGATGACACGAAATTAGGGGGGCGATAAGAGAGCCTAAATATTAGGCGATTAGTAAAACGACACGCGCGTGGTTTTGAGGCGAATGGCAGGGCGACACGTGGCGGGGGATTTTTTTATGTTGGGGGGACCACGAGGGCAACATGGGGAAAATGGGTGGGAGTGATAAGACGGAGGGAGATAAGTGTGGGTGAAAATGGGTGTGTATGTATATGTATATATATTGGTTTCTGTGTGTCACCGTCTTTGTTATGCTAATCACTTTCAAAGCTACCGTCATTTGGCCCCTAATCGCTTTGAACATTTTATAATTACGTACTTAATCAATACTGTATTTTTACGATTTTTTAACCATAAGAATTATTAATTGTTATTTAAGAAATTCCCTTTTAGTTTTTACATAGTTTATTTAAGTGGATAATTATTTCTAGAGAAAATATTAGGTTTGAGGAAATAAAATTTACTTTTGAAATTGGAAAACAATTTTTTAAAAAAAAAATAGAATTTAAATTTTAAATACAATTTTCTCTACCTAAGTTTCGAACCATACAAGACAAAAAAAATAAAAAATCATGGTACTAGGGTTGGTCCAATCCAAATAATACTGGTAGTTGGGATTTTTGCTTTATGATTCTATTAGAATTAAATAATATCATGTGGATATTATTTATTGTTTATTTGGTTTATAAAAATTAAGTGGCCAGTTGAATTTTGATGTTCATTTTCTTTCTTTTCTTTTTAATTCTTATATTAATTTACCTCATTGTTAAGTACTAAGTAAACTTTCCAGCTGACACACTAGGATAATTAAATATTATACATGGTTATTTATAATAGATGAATTTGAACCGTTAATTTACACATAATCATACACACATTCATGTGTATGTATGCTTATCGATAGTTATTTAATCAAATCAACGATTGAAATCCACCTAATATAAATAATCAGATATAGGTGTACCATCTAACTCTCATACACGATTTCTAGCAATGATCGTATATATATATTTTTTTAATTCGGATGTAAAATGTGGAAAAGAGCCAAGCAGAAAATGACAGGTTGAATACTAGATGATATTATTCTGCTCATTTTTTGTGTGTGGATTTGAAGGAATGGAATCGATAACTAAATAATAATTGCGACTTAATGACATGTATTACACATCACAATTATACAACTATTTGAATTAAGATGGAGGTTGACTAAACTTAAAAGCACTTAAAAACAACTTATAATCTCTTTAAGAGCTTATAAGCTATTAATTTAAAAATTTGAAAGTGTTTGATAATGTTTTAATACATTGCTCGTATTTTTATATGCTCACCATAATCATTATATTGAAACCTTTTTGTTGATTTATCTTATTATAAAAAAAGTTATAAACAACCATATTAAATGACCTATATTAATGGAAGGCTACACCGCGTTATTATCATCAGGTTGTTGTTATCCCGTAGACCTACGTATAATCACACACACTCATGTAAAAAAGGTGTACTACGTGAGTGGTTATTTAATCTCATCGACAATTAACGAACATCTGGTGTCAATTAAATGAACGTACACAATTAAACCTAAGATTTTACATAGTATAGTGTAAAAGCAAATGTGTGACGGAAAAGAATCTTTTGTATACTAATATAACACACGGTGGGTGGGGTCCATTGCTGGTTTCATCATCGACCAAGTCCTATTCAGAGTCAAATCATATTGTCTATTTTATTATTATTATTATTATTATTATTATTATTATTATTATTATTATTATTATTATTATTATTATTATTATTATTTATTTTTGTTTTCACTCATGATTTTATAGATTCATCACTCATAAGATTTATCGGGTGATTTTGAATCATAGATTTCACAGACATTTATATGCGGGTGTATAAAATGTAAAAACATATACTGAAAATATATTTGATGAAGTTCATTGGTTGTAGCTTCGACACAGGCGCGCACTCTTTGAGTTCGAAATTATTAAATAAATTACATCTAATTGTGAATAATTTTTAACCTAATTACCTTCTGAAATAGAAATCTGATTAATGGGCATTATGGCAACATCCTAATTTCATATTCAATTGGGCCCTATTGTCCATAAGTGACAATCAATGTTGCAATCAATTGTAGTTTTATGTTTAATTAGTAAATATACACTTTAGTAGTTATTATATTCAGTGGCAGGGCCGCGTCCTGGAACATTTCTCATATCTCTATTAATTTATATTAAATATAAATAAATTGTGTATACTAACATTGACGGTCTCCCTTTAGAATTTTTTAATGCATTCTGCTCTCAGACTTAAAATCCTGACTTCGATAATTATTAATCATACAAGGGTCTGGCATATATACTACGCTAGTGTCTCGACTATTGTGGAATATAAACATTTATGTCATTGAATTTTATATACCAAATTATTAGCTTGAAAGTACTCAGAATTAATTTTATTTTGAACGATTACTTAATAAAATGAAAAGAAAAGTAAATTTGAAAATTTGATATAATTTAGTGTATGTCATTTTTTACATTACACATCAACAATCACATATGTTAATTGTGAGGCACACATCTTTTTCAAACCATAAGATGTAGCATCTTCCAATATATATATATACCAATTAGGAAGCTAGTAAATAATAGCTCATGATATTATTCATATATATACACATATATGGAGTTTTTCTCTGAAAATTAATGACGAACGGTTGGTTTGTTTATCAAAAAGATCGATTAGACCCCTTGAAATGAACTAGCCTATTATCATATATGATTCTTAGTTATTAATATGTTATAGCTAGCTCTTTTGCGATGATCACTAACACAACTTATCTATATTAATACGAATTGGAGCGCCAAATAATTTCCCGATCTCGATCGGTTTTTACTTCTTAGGGTTTGTTTTAATAGCCATATAACAAGGTACGGTGTACATATACATAATGATTACTAATTAAATATTTTTTTTCCTAGGAACAAATTAAAATAAATTAAAGTAGTCTAATAAGACAATATAAAAGATTAATTAGGTTTACTACATTCAACAATCATGTGTTTACTTCACCACATATATACATATATATGTGTGTGTGTCTGCACGAATGTATATATGGAAGGATGACATGATAATAAATGGAAAAAAAAGTTAGTATATATATATATATATATATATATATATATATATATATATATATATATATAATATGGGAGGTTAAGAATGATGTTGAGTGCATGCAATGCATGTGGGATGCACAAGGATGCATGTAAGCCAAAGTCTCTTTTTAAAGACTTGTGAAAAATAGGGTATCAATCGGTTTCTTGTTCAAAGCAAACCTAACTTCCCCTTTTTGTGTTTATTTTTATTTCAAACTCTATAACTAGCATGTGTAGTTATGTTATGTGTGTATTATATTGTACTTTGATACCATGCCCCTCGTGACTTTATTTATATATATATGCTCCAAAAGTGCAACCCTTCATTATCTAATTTTATTTTCCAGGACCGACCGTATAATTATTACTCATGTGTTCGCCTCGCCTATATTGTCCGATCCATAGGCTTTGGATTCGTTATTTCTCAAGAATCTACACTATTTTACGATTATATGTATTTATTATTGTTCAAATTCAATATAGTAATACAATATTCTAGTCCGTCACTCGGTGTGATATACTTTAATTTGCATTCATGCGAGTCCAGGCAGGTACGTAGTTAGTACAGCGTGGACTTAAAATAAATTTTCGGGAGTTAAGGAGCAGCACCCCTGGAAAAAAAATTGGACACTTTTTTGGATAAATTAGGAAGATAACTTTTTTAGGGGTTTCTTTTACATACATACATACATACATACACACATGCATGCATACATAACATACATGATGATTATTATTGAGAGATATAAGATAAACCAAACTATAATTAAATGAAAGAATAGGTAGGTAAGATATATGGGGCAGAAATTGCGGGCACAAGGAATAGCGCTAAAAAAAACTCTCATAACAAAATTCAGGCAAACTCGCTATTTGCATGACCCGCTTTCCCCTTCACATGTGATTTTATTTATTCAAATCCGTTTCACATTATTATCCATCTCTCTCACGCAATCATTACTTATATTATATTATATATATATTGTTTGGCAACACACACAAGTCAAAAATATTATTATAATTATATTATAATTTATATTATATTGTTGCATGATGATTCCATGCACGTGCTGGATAACCTAACCCTAGCTTGTTTTCACACTGATGAAGATATTATTTATTTAGTAGTTATCATTTTATGGAAGCGTCGTTGTCACTGCATATCAAATTGGCGTTCCTAGGTTACGTTTCTGATATTGCAACGTTGAACATAACAAATCAGGAAACAATATTTTTTATTATTATTTTGTTTTTATTTTTCTTCAATCCTTTTTCAATTTGGAAGATAATTGTATGTAGTATATATGTATCATTAAGGACGTACGTACAGACATATATAGTAGTAACATATAATAGTACTTAGATTTTTTGTACAACTTATATTAAGCCTACAAATATTCACTTGTTTTATGTTTTTTTTTTTTTTTTCGAGATTGTTTTATTAATTTTATAGGACCGCACGAACTAGCAGTTGTTCTAAAATCAATTGGTGATAGGAAAGGCGTATATACCCGTAGACAACTGTCGTCGAACTCAGGCTAACGAATTTCATCAACTCCAATCAATAGGATGATGGATACACAATCTAAATTGTCTAATTCAAAATTATAGTATATTTTATTTATCATAATATTACAAGAAAATGTCTTCTTGTGATTTTTAGATTATATTCTGTATGTATATAATATACGTACATAAATAGGGTAACACGCTAGCCAGCTTGTTGAACTCCACTTGTTCTAAAAATCTCCATCTCTGTCGGAATTTTATCATAGCTAAGACACATGAGTTTGATCAAACTACTAAATTTGAATTATATTTCAAATTATACACTAACATAGGCCATAGCTGATGTGGTAAATATTTTACTTGTACGGATATATAATATAATAGGCTTCAATGTATTTGTTCACAAAATAAGACTAATTTATGTTCAAGTATACGCTTTTATATGTATTTTCTTTGTGCCAAATTATTTGTTATTTAAAGGTTTAGTTACACATTAAAAAAAAAGACTCATTCAAAAGTTTTTTTGTTGACAAAAAAAAAAAAAGCAATCAAAAAATACTGCATCTATGTATTTTATAATTACCAAACGAGGATTTAAAATTCGCGCAAAAATAAATAGTTAGCATTAAACTGCTAAAATGATACTCTATTCAATTCACATAAGTTGTTTTCGGAGAAATGTTTATATTACACATTATTTGTCACTTTATATTACCAAAATTGCATTAATTGATAACTATTTTTTTTCCCTTTTTTTTTTCCTTTTTTTTTCCTTACTATTCATAATATATAAGGATTGCAATTTGTCGGTTCCGGGAGATGGGTTTTGTCTAAATTTCATTACTAACGGTCGCTAGGTTCAATTTATCACAGATGATTCTAATGTAGTTTACGTTTATCGTATGGCTTGCAAGTTATTATACGAGAGTACTGTATGACTTGCAAACTATTATATGAGAGTACCGTATATTTATCTAGTGCACTTATATAATTGGTTGCGAGTTTCTTTATTAAAATAAATTAAATAAAGGTTTTGATGCATTGAACTTTAATTTGTCCATATTAACTCACGATGTCACAAGTCATGCAATTAGTTGGCATGCACCATATCTCAAACAGTCAAACCTAATTGATCTCATTTTTCTCTAAATTGGAAAAATTGCTGATATCACTCAATTAAATTCGGCATTTATTACAAACAGTACTTACATTTACGAATTATAGTAGTTTAAGTGCTTTTCCTTAATCCAGGATTAAGATTCCTAAGATTTAATTAATCACATCCCAAACACAGCTTTCACTAGTGGCCAACCTGTTGCTAATCACCCTCAAATCACTTGCCATTTTTGTACACCAAGACAGAATTCCCTCTCTCATTCCATTAAAAAGTTAAAATTAAATTAAAGAGTTAAAATTAAATTAAACACACAGTAATACTCCACTAAGGTGCTTATCATCATCATCAGCCATTGAAGCTGCTTTCATAGCTAGAGCTAGGTCAGAATATTTAATTAATTAAGATGCTAATTGATTAATTAGTCTACCTCCAACCAACCATTAGCAAATAATGCGCTTTTTTTTTTCTCTTTAATTAATTCCCGTGATTTGATTTTGAGTCGTCGATACTCGATACCTACCAATTAATACCTGCCAATTATTCGATTCTTTATTATTTATTTTTTTTTAAATTTCATACTAATTATGATAATGAGAATTGATTAGCAGGGACCAAAATCAGTGAAAAGATCTTACTGCATGTACAAAAATGGAAAGAAGGGAACAACGTTATCTCAATTGCTATCCAGACATTTATCATTTTGTTGAAATTTTGTCACATGAATTGATGCCCCTCTTATATATATGCTTACGCTATTCATCATGGAAAATAAATAAAATAAAATATTTGCCTTCATTAAAGAATTGGGCTAGGAAAATAATTTTAGAAGTGTGTCATAACATTTTCAGCCCAGTGGGCCAACTTATCTATAAATTTTATTTTATTATTTTATTTTTGTTTTGCAAGTATTTTCAAAATTGGCGGGAGCATGATCTCGTTATTATATGATGAAGAAAATGAAGGTTATGACTTATGAGTAAGTCAAAGTCTAATTATCAAAAAAAAGAGTAAGTCAAAGTCAAATGGAAGGAAATACTTCCTCTGTTCCAAAATAATTGATTTTTTTTTTTTTGAGATAAACTAGAATAATTTATTAAGCAAAATATTCAATGTTTGAAGGGAGAGAAGCTCCTTCAGAGGAAATAAATAAACCTTGACTAGCTAAAGCATGGGCTAAACAATTGCCCTCTCTTTTGACAAAATGAAAATCACATAAGGAAAATGAGCAGATAATACGTAGGCTATCTTCAACGAATGCTCCGTACGATGCTAGTGACTCATCTCCATCCTTAAAAGTATTTATGCTAGTGACTCATCTCCAAAATAATTGATGTTTTAGGTTACATAACCTTCATTTCGTTCAGCATATAATATGTGTGAGTTTTAGAAAAAGACTTATAATATGACTGAAATGCCCATGTAATTAATTATATTTCAACTAATTAATATTAATAACTAAAGGACATAATTGAGAAAACAGTAATAAATACACTATTGGAATTATAAAGTGACATTTAATATGAAACTAGAAAAATTCCCTAAAGTAACAGTTAATTAGAAATAGATGGAGCAATAAAGATGAAGATAGAACAACGGAATAAATATTAAATAATATGTGTGGTTTAATTTGTAAATTGTTTATTAAAGTCGTATCGTCATTTTAAGTTGTGATCCTTTTATCTGCGCCGAAAATAAAGAACTAGGACTGTGTCACATTTCTAAAAAAGATGGAAATATCTTACCAAATTATTTAATTATCTTCTAATTGTTTTTTATAGCACGTGTGAAATACCATTGGGTTAGAGCGGTAGCCAGCACACATATTATAATACTAATACTTCTTAAAAGACCCATTATTATTTTTTTCAAGATAATATATTTTTAACAAAAAATGCTGGCGTCTACTTTTCATGTCCAATATTAAGCCATTGATGAACAACATGAATATATGATCATATAAAATATATGCATTGTTAATATAATTTGTATAACGTTTAATATATTGGGTACAAGTTACAATTGTTTTTATTTCAAATTTTTGTAGATATTATATCCAGTAAAATACATGAGTGATCTTATACCACAGATCTATACATAATAAAACATACACACATTCATGTGTATATATGAGTAGTGGGTGATTATTTGCAGTGTTCTAAAAATCGGCCGAGGCGGCCGATTAATCGGTCTCCGAGGCGGAGGCGGTCCAAAACCTTTACGATTTTAGTGTAAAGGTTTGAAAAATCGGTTTTTTGCCTGTGAGGCGGTTTTAGGCGGTCTGAGGCGGTCCGAGGCGGTCTGAGGCGGTCAAACCTTTAAGGCGGGTCAAACTCGGTGGCAAAAATTGGTCAAAAATCGGTTAAAAATCGGTATTTTTTTTTTAATTCAAAATAAAAGTTGGATTTTAATAAAAGAAAATGTGAGTTTATGCCTTATTTTGTTTATGTTAATTGTTATTGTTAAAAAACTAATGATGTATGCCATGAATGTTCAAGAATAAACGTAAATTCAAAAAAATTATTTTTTTATTTATATTTTATAAGGATATTTATGTATTATGATCTTATGATTATTAAACTTTTATTATATATGTTATTAGGATATATACATGATGGAGATATAACTATGTTAAAATATATTTTTATATATGTTTGGAGTATTTATAAATAATATTTAGAAATATATTATATTAAATTTTAAAAACCGATTTATTTCCGATTTATCACCGATTAATCACCGCCGCACCGATTAATCGTGAGTCGGTGCCTGACCACCGACTCGGACCCGATTACCGATTTTTACAACCTTGATTATTTGTATTCACATTCATGTGTATATTTAAGCACCTCGCGGTACAAAATCATTCAGTGTTTGTAGCATCTCATAGACAGTTTTTATATACAAATAAATTTGTTGACATGTATTTCATGATATCATTTTTTGAGAGACATTCTTGAATAATCCATTGATGAACAAAAAATAATTATAAAACTTTATAACAATAATATTATTAAATTTTGAAGGCAAATACTAATCATCTACTATAATTGTAAATTAAAGTACACAATCTAATTCCTATGCTTTATCCTTTCTTTTTTTTCACGTGCTTTCCAAAATTTCATCATCATCTCTCCGGTTGGGACTACTAATTCTCTCACAAATCATAATCTACATAACAAATACTCTCTGCCTACTGTATTTTTGGCCCAAAGAATTCCATCTATTTACACAATCGCCCCAACCAATCATCTGCCCTCCTAATCATCTACTCAGCTATTCACTGCCTAAACCCCAACCCACCAGCCTGGGTCTGGTACCGAGCAACAAACGGGTCAATCGAGTTCGAGTATTCCTGCCCGAACATGCCCGCATTCTGCGGGTAGAATCCGGGTTGGCCCACCCGCTGGGCCCTGGCCCCACTCTGGACTTCTTCGTCCACCACCTCACTGCCGCCAATAATACCAATGTGCTGCAGAGAAGGGGCAAATATGTCATTTTGACAATTCAAGTTATTGTAGACCGGTGGCTGCTGGACCGGATCTGGACCGGGTTCGGGCAGCGGGTTAAGCCCGGCTAGCGTGGCCCAATCGAAATTCCCAGAACCCAAATGCGCGAGATTCAGCTTCTGCTCCTCTTGCTGAAAATTCTTCAGAGAATCCATTCTCGGCAAAGAGAAGAAACGGTCGTTAATCTCCGGCAACGAATCCATAACGTCGTCGTATTGCGACGAAGACGACGACGAAGATCCGATGCTGTACTCTCTGCTTTGAACACCGGTAATTGCGGATTTTTGTGCGCTCGAATTCTTCTTGTAAATCCGGCAAAGCACCCATTCATCCAGCTACAAAATTAAAAATCAAACACATCAATACGAATTCAGAAACATGAAATTAAAAAGAAAAACAGAAAAAAATTGAAGAAATATCTTACTTTGGCGCTGCCATGTTTTCTGGAAGGTTCGAAGAGTCTGTATTCGTGCATAATCCAATTGGTTTTGGTTCCTTTAGGTGCTTTACCGATGTAGAAAACTAGGGCTTTTTTAATGCCGACTTTTCTCCCCTCCGTCGTGATGATTTTATCAGTTCCGGTGGCTTTCCAGTATCCAGATCCGGCGACTCTGTTCGGCCGAGATCCGTTCGGGTACTTTCTATCCCTCGGGCTGAAGAAATACCATTCCTTTTCCCCAAATATAGCTTTGCCTTCACAATTCAGAAAATATAAATAATTAATTTAATTGGAATGAATTGAATACAGAAAACCAAATTCAAAATCAAATTGGGGGAAATGAACTTACTGGGGAGATCCCAGGGATCGAATTTGTAGAGATCAATATCTCCGATGATCGGCAAGGAGAAATGGTGGCCGGCGACTTTTCTGCAGAGGTACTGCACCAGAAGCTCCTCATCAGTCGGGTAGAACCGAAACCCGGGAGGCAAACTCAGTTGTGAAAGCGGGTCGGTTTCTCGGACCCCCATTTCTCTGTGATAATTATTCAGCTTGCAAGTTGCAGATGATCACTATTATATTTTTTAATTATTCGAAATGATTAT